AAGACTTTTTTTTTTTTTTTTTGAGTAGTTTATGTTCGCATCAGAATTGAGATAAGGTACCAAGACTTCCAGTACATCCCCTCACATGCATAACATCACCATTTTCAGCAACCCTGCCAGAAGGGACTTGTTACAATTAGTAAACCTATCTTGACACAGCATAATCATCCCAAATTCATTCTTTACCTTAGGGTTCACTCATGCTGTACATTCTGTGGGCTTGGACAAAGGTATGATGAGATGGATTCATTATTACAGCATTTAGAGTATTTCATAGCTTTCAAAATCCTCTGTGTTCTGCCTATTTACTTCCAGTCCATGGCAACTGCTGTCTCCAGTTTTCCTTTTCCAGAAAGTCATAGAGTTGGAATCAAAGAGTTCATTGCCTTTTTAGATTGACTTCTTTTACTTCATAATATGCATGTAAGGATCCCTCGAGTCTTTTCATGACTTAATAACTCATTTCTTTTTAACGATGAATAATTTTCCATTGTCTGCATATACCACACTTTGTCCATTCACCTAATGAAAGAAATCTTGCTTGCTTCCAGGTTTTGGTAGTTATGAATAATGCTATCATAATTGTCCTTGTGTAGATTTTTGTGCAGACATACGTTTTCATCGCCTTTGGGCAAATACCAAGGAGTGGTATTGCGTAGTAAAATATGTTCAGTTTTGTAAGAAACTATCAAACTGTATTCCAAAGTGGCTGTACCATTCTGCATTCTTACCACTGATGAACGTGAGTACTTGTTGCTTCACACTCTTGTCACCATTTGCTGTTATCACTGATGTATATACATATTTTTATGAGAAAAGAGGAAAGAGAGAAGTTATATAAAAACACTTAGACTTAAACCTGATCAGAAGTGTATATACTTATAACTTTTTATTTTAAAATGATCTTTATTTTGCCCGTTAGGGAATACTTTGAAAAGGACAATATGATACCCCTACTAAGTTCAAAGGTATATTAAAATCAACATCCTTTGCATGTTTAAAATTGTGCCTTTGCCTGATTTCTCTTCATTTATCAATCCAATAACTGTTTACAGAATGGAAAAATCTAGTCTCTAGGCCTTCAGTGCCTTGTTCAGTCTCTTTTAATGCTGTGGTAAATTGAAATTCTCTTAAATCCATACTTAAAGAGATAGTGTGATTAAATCTATTTTATTATTTGCATAGCATTATTTGACCTCGGGAGCCATATTTGGTAATACTGCTTATAAATATATATTACTTTTTTAGAAAATAAAACAAGTGTATCACTTGCTATATTTTTAAAGTATATCTGCATTATTTTTTCTGCCATGTATATTTAGGTTAAACTTAAATATTCTTTGATTTCTGAGGATGGTGAAGAAAGAGGGCTCTTCCTTT